GCGAGCGGGGGGGCAGCCGCCAGAGTCTGGAGAGCAGGGAAATCCTGTCCATGGGCCAGCCACCAGGTCTCAGTGGGCAGGAGGGGTAAGCGGACGGCTCGGACGGGCAGTCTGCCGCTCAACCCGTGGGCCGCTCCACACCAGAGGACACGTATTAATACAATTAACGATTTGTCAGCATCTAATGCAATAAAGTAATTAAACAAAGCAGTGTCCCCAGGCTATTTTTACAAAAATACACCATCACTTTAATTAAAAAGAGAATGGTGTTAGTTCATGTAATCACCGATCACTAAAGCACAAACCAAGAAATGTCTAAAACAAATTTTATTCTGCCTTAAAAACATGTATAGAGCTTCTTACTGGATTTTTTTCTTTTTTCTTTTTTTGTTGTTTAGTTTTATTTCTGTAATTTGTCAGAGGGTGCATGTGCTTGCCAGAGAGAGAGAGATTGAGGGAAAATGAGTACGTACCCCCATGGGGTATGGTTATGTGACAATCCCTTCTCCTTCTCTCCCTCCTGTCAGGATTTTGGCCATGCGTGCACGCACACACACACATGCACACACACACACTCATCCCCATGTGTTTTTCAAGCCACTGGGTTTGAGACTTGGAGTCCGGCCACCTTAACCTTCACACCACCTGCGGGCCTATTACTGGATTTAAAATGTGATTTGTGGGCCAGTATGCGGCACGGAGGTTAACTTGCTGGGTCACACATGCCAACTCCTTGGTTCGAGTTCTGGAGCAGGCAGCTTGAAAAGCATGTCACATGTGTGTGCCCGCATGTCCGATATCCCGAGAGAAGAGTGGAAGAGGAAGGACTGCAACATGGCCACATTCCCTCTGGGGCTGGTTTCTCACTTTCCCTCTTTCTGTGTCTCCATCTGCCTCTCTCTGACGAGCACACACACACCCTATAGCAAAAATCTAAAAAGGAAAAAAAAACGATCTGTAAACTGAGAACATATGTGGTGTTGACATTCAGAGAGGCCTGTGGCCACACATGGGAAAGCGAGGCTCTGGGCCTGCAGACCCAGAGAACCACAGACCTGCCGGCACGCCTCTCCCCACATGGTCTGCTTCCACCACCCTGTGTAGCTGCGGCTGTCCCTTCTGCTCAAATACAAGCACTTTCTTCCCCGCTCGAGCACCACGGGTCTACAGCAGGAGCAAATCAGAGTGTCAGACACACACAGAGACGTCGATCTGGGCTGATGGTGTGCTGGTGTTTGTAAAAACACACCGCGTTTTAAAATTAGGAACAAAAATGTAACGCCACACACACACACACACACACACACACACACACACACACACACGGCACGCCTGTGCATCCATTCGTCCATTCGTCCTGTGGCAAGCAGCTAATCCAGGGAAACGCAGAGAAGAAAGCGCCAAGAGCGTTCCTGCAGGGCATATCTAAACCCTGGCACCAGATGATTCTGGGTCTCAGGCTCACACTAACCCTAGCTTGATTCACTGCATTGAGTGGAGACAACACAGCCAGGAGACAAACGAGCCTCCGTGATGCATTCATTTTTAACTTCTAGAAAATGTGAACTAGAGCGAGTCTGACGATCTCCCCTTCCCGCGTGCACAGAACCAAGAAGGAGGAGGACCAGAGGACAGGAACTTAATCTGGGGAGTCAGCGGCCAGGGCCACCCCAGTAGACCACATGTGTGATGGGAACCCTCGCCTCTACTATGGGTGTCCTGCAGAGGGCGCCGGGCACACACCAGGCCTGGAGCAGGGCAGAGGGTGGACTGCACGCAGTACCTTTTCTCCAGGCAGGCAGGAGCAGTTGATGGTCTTCAAAAACCCGATCTGTTCACTGCCAGGGGTGGGAGGCTGCTGGGGCAGGGGCGGAGGCTCTGTCACCACAGTCACCTGGCACTGGAAGAAGAGCCCAGAGGGTCAGAACTAGCAGCCACTCCCGGGGAGGTGCAGTGTCCAGACTTCCTCGGAGGCCGGTGGTAAGGAGGAGCCAGAAAACCCTGCGGACGCCGAGCATGCGGAGTGCGAGGGCCGGTCCCCGGTTCTCCCGGGGCCTCGGAGCAGATGGCTGGAAGGACCAGCCCCAGCCATATCAGTGACAGCTCAGCAATCTGTGGGAACACTCGGTTCCTCAAGGCTCAGCGTCCATCTCTACAGAATGGGGCAAGGGGATGTCCGTGGTGACATCAGGAGCGAAATTTCATGAGCCAGCATGGGATTCCCACCTCAGGGGCTCGCACCCAGAAGGTGTCTGGGAGCTCCTGCCCCGTCCTGGTCTCCCCCTGTGTCCCCCTTTCATTTTCTCACCCTCTGGCCTCCTCTGTTCTTCCCCTCTCTCCACAGCCAGGTCCCTAGTCCCTGCTGCAAATCTGTGCACAGGAGTCTGAGGTGGGCACGCTGAGGGGACATCAGCTGGGTCTGCAGGCTGGGCCAGCCAAGTGCTGTGCGAGGATTCCAGCCACCATTCCCACCCCTCAAGCAGCGTTGGAACCAACATTTGGTAAAGAGGGTTGGAGAGGGCAAGGCTTGGAAGGGGGAGGAGGGCAAGGTGTGAGGGGCAACATGCACTGCTCAGAGGGGCCGTGGGGTAAATCCTGGTGTCTCAGGCACCCGGGTACAGACCTCTCAGTCTCACCAGCCAGCTAAGGGCCTGCGGCCTCCCCCCACAGGCAGCCTGCTACTCCTCGGGTCATCTGCCCACCTCTGCCACTGCCCTCCCCCGCCTCGGAGTGGTGATGACCCAGGGCAGAGCACAGCAGCCCCTGGGGAAGACCTGCAGGACCCAGCGGCCCCTCACACCCATGTGACCAGGGACTGGAACCCAGCAGTATTTGCTGGACCCTACTAGTCCGATTTCCTCCGGTGGGGCCCACCTGCCCACGCCTGAGCCCAGGCCCGCACGCTTCCCCAGCTCCTGCAGGAGCTGTTACTCACCGGCCCTGAGGGGATGTCGCAGCAGGTCTCCAGCTCTGCGTGCCGTGAGTCACAGTAGATCACAATGCGCTGCAGGTCAAACTGGAGAGGAGAGCGAAGGGAGAGGATGGCTTTAGGGCCCTTAGAACCCAGAGGCCTAAAGCTGGGCAGGGCCACCTCCTTCTGGAGGCCCTCCTAGCCTGGCCCCTGGATCCCTGACTTTGAGCTCCACTGCCAGGTTCAGGGGGAGACTAAGCACCCTCTGCTATGGCTCCCCCTGCAGAACTCTCCTGCCAGGGAGGTCTGAGGCATGCACTACGGCCAGTGTCTCCCGCCCTCCAAGGCCCCGCAGCTCCTGCCCTCGTCCCATACTTGGGCACAGTGTCCTCCTCATGCTGCCCCGCCGTCCCTGCACACGGTGGGGGCTGCAAGGAGGCCGCTGCGGTGGCTCCAGCAGCTCAGCACATCCTCACTCCAACCTCTCAGACGTCGCTACGCAGGTTAAATGAACTTCCAAAATCGACACTGGCTTCATTCACCTGTTACCCCACAGCTCCTTATACTTAAACATTTTTAAAGTTTAAATTTATAAGGAAAATTTTTAAAAAACTTAAAAAATTTAAGACTCAAAAAAGGTGTGATGGTAAACATACGTGCATACACTCACATTTAGTCACACTCACACACATTCACACTCATTCACTCACTCACAGACACACACTCTTGCGCCCAAGAGTCTACAGATTGAAGCTAGGCCTTTGATTGGACCCTGTAGCTCTCCAAGGCCTGGCCCTGCTGGACCCCTGGCTGTGTGTGTCTTCACATGGCAACACCCAACTGCACGGGAACCACAAAAAACTCTGGGCCTCCTGCATTCTCAGCTTTGCACAAGGGCCATTCTAGAAAAGCCCTGGGACCTCAAGTGGTCCCCCAGCCACCCTCTAAACTACTCAGGCAGCCACTTCTGTGGTGGGTCTTAAAATATTAGGTCACCTGGCAAGTCATGATATATTTTTCTATGCAAAACTGTATCATAACTTTCCTGATGACCCAGAATAGTTATGGACTCTTTGATGCTCCTCCCTTCAAGAGGTGGAGCTACCTTTCCCTCTCCTGGGCTGTCGGTGGACTTGGTGCCTTGCTTCCAATGACTACAATACGGTGAAAGTGATGGCATGTCACCTCCAAGACTAAGTCATAAAAGAACACTTCTGCCTGGGCATGTGCATGCTCTCTCTCTGTCTTTCTCTTCCTATCTCTCTGTCTCTGTCTCTCTCTCAAACATTCACCCTAGGGAACACAGCTGCCTGGCCATGAGACACTCTCAGGTGTGGAGGAACCAGTGTGGCTCCAGCATCGGCCAGCGAGGAGCTGGTGCCACGGTGCCACAGTCTAGGAGGCTGCCACGGCAGAGGGCTTAGGGTCTTTTGGCCCTGCCGGGGATCTGCACTGACCCCAGCCAGCAGTCTGAGAGCAGCTCAGAGGACTTGGAGGCACAAAAGCCCACCTAGATCCCCTGGTTCTGAGCCACAGAGTCTGCTGTTTAAGCTTTTGCTGGGAGGGGATATTGGGGCTATGCAGCCACAGACATCTGGTCTACCTGATCTACTGTCGGCAGAGGTCCTCAGGCTCTCCTCTCTAGTGCGTCTAAAGTTCACACTAATAGTGAACATAGCAGGCTGTGAGGCCATTACACAGGCTGGTGTGTGCTCATCTCCTCTCCGGGCTCCAGGATTTTGGGGATCAGGGACCAAATCTGAGGGCCTGCTGCCTCCCCAAGCTTGAGGCTAAGGTTTTTGGCTCAGGACAGGGGCTGCGGGAAAACCCTGCCTTTCCAGGTACCAGCACAGTGTGAACTCAGCTCCTGCCTGCCTTCTCTTCTCACCGCCATCAGTCACCCTGGCTTCACTTCCTCCCACTGGCTGTACCCCATACTGCCAACACATCAACTTCTCCCATGAGCTTTACCCTTCATGACCCATGGCCTAGAGGGTGTTTCCTCTCCTGCCCCTCCCATGACCAGAATTCCTCACCCTCACCTCCTGGACTGGCAGTCCATCCCGGGCCCTCTAGCCCTCTAACACAGCACCTGCACTTCCTTGCAGCAGCCTTGCCAGTCTGAATCTTGTGAATGCTCATCAGCTCACTTTCTAAGATTTCTTCCCCCATGAGAACACCCATCCAGAATGGCAGGTGCCTGTCTCTGCTCTTTGCTGAATCCCCAGCTAGAGCAGGTCCTGACACACAGTGGCCCCAGAAGCAGAGAATCAGCAGGTGAAAAATGAGTGAACAAATGATAGATGATGCTTAGCAGATGGGCCTGGAGCCAATTTGATGGATTAGGACACACTGCCGGGTCCCTCCCTGGGCCCTCCTCTGGCGTGTGCTGGACTTGGGAGTCCCTCAGCTAACTGGCAAGACACACAGCCAGCTGCATGACCTCATGCTCCTGGCTTTATGGTGTCCTTCGAAACACAACTCCTCCCCCTACTGAGGAAACAACTGTCCCATTCATCCGTCTGTTTTATTTCCTGTAAAGACACCAGCCCCCACAGGAGAAAGTGACAAGATGCAGAATCGTGGCTATGAACAGGGCTATTTGCCATCGACGGTCCTGCTTTCTCCATCAGCAAGCACACGTTCACAGCAGCTGGGCCCTCCTGGGAGGGCCCAGGGGCTGAGGATGGAAGAGAAAGAGGCAGCAGCCAGGACCTGGGAGCCAGGAAATCCCACCATTCTCCCAGCCACTCTCATCCTTCCTTCCCCCCTGCTCTCCCAGGCCCAGGAATCCTGCTAAGGGCCTTCTGCCTCACAACTTGTGGCCATGTCCTCAGCAGCTCCGTGTTGGACTAGTGTGTGGGCCGCAATCCTGGGTTCTACCTCCCCTCCGCGTCCCACCGCTGGCAGCTGAGTGACCCAGACTGGCTGTAGTATGGAAACCAATTAGGAACACACAGAGCTTAGAGCCTGGGACAAGTAGGGCCCAGCCAGTGTCAGCCTCAGCTCTGACCTCCCCTGTTGGCTGGCCACGGTAGCTCAGTCCCCTGAGCCTCAGTTCCCCCACCTATAAGATGGAGAAACTGACTTGTGGGCCGGGATAAGGACAGGAACACAGGCCTCATGAGAGCATCAGAATCTGCTGCAGGGGGAGCTTCTGCAACACCAGGACACTCCCCAAACCATGTGTACAAGTACTCTAGGAGTGTTCCTGATTTATTGTTTAGTTAGCAAAGCAAGTTATAAAGAAGTTTATAACTGTGTTTATGGTATTTTTGCCATATGTAAAAATTGTGTATATTCAAATTTACTCATTTTTTTCCTTTATGGTTTGTGTTTGATGGACCAGGAAAACAATATTTGAAACATAAACAACAAAACCAGCCGCTAGCCTCTAGGATATAGAAAGACAATCTGGAAATCATTAAGAGAACAAAAATACCTTAACAGTAAAACAGGCAAAAGATATAGGCTGGCATTCCTTAAAGGGAGAACCACGCGGCCACTCAACAGACACAAGGAAAGACTCCCAATCTCAGTGGTAGTCACAGAAATGCAGATGAAAACCACAGTAATACCCTGGGATGCCCACAGACCAGCAAGACCACAGAACATAAAATAAACGAATAAAATCTATAACTGGGTGAGGACTTAACAAGATAGGACTTGGGTTTAGACACATAAATGTCCTCTCACTTGGTAGTGAAATTAAAATATGTGGGAAAAACAAAAACTGTGTACCCCAAATCTGATAGCGTACCCAATAGTACCCCAGAGAGACTCTCTCAGGCTGTCTCTATCTCAAGCTTAAAGGGTCCCATTTTCTTAAAGGGGTGACGGTGAATTGGGGTTGCAACACGACACTTTTCAAGGTGTGGTGTGCTACATGGTGTGTGCAGGGACAGGGCGTGGGGCCCCCCTGAGGCTCGTCTCTGGAATCCCAGGCTGGCTCAGAGGCCTGTACTCACATCGATGGGCACGCTGTCGTAGAGGCGCTTGCCGAGCACAGTCTTGCCCTGGATGTCGATGTTCTCCCTCTCCCCGATGGGCAGGGTCTGCACCAGCGCGCAGTCGATGTAGAGGGACACGTTCCGCGCCTGGATGCTCAGGGCGATCTTGTGCCAGTCCCGGTCAAACAGGTTGTTGACCTGAGGACCTCGGAAGACCACCCTGACGGCATCCTCCATGGCACCCACAGCATTGTACTCAACGGCCTTGTTTTCTCCGTCCAACCGGATGGAGACCTAGAGAGGGAGGGCCAGAGACCCCTTTAGTTTCATGGGATTAAGAGGGAAGGGGGTGCTTGACAAGCCCAGGTCAGATCCTGGCTGGTCGACCCTGGTGACCTTGGGCCAGTTGCCGCACACCACTGAGGTCCCCTCCTCCATCCTATGTGTTCTCAAGTGCCTCGCCCACTCTTCTAACCTGCATCAGTTGGAATCGTGGTGTCAGAGGTTAGCCCAGGGCACACGCTTGGCTCCTGGAAGGGCTGGCAGTCGCGAGAGCTCTGAGACTACAGGGCGATGGGTGCTGAGGCTGGAGGCGTGAGCACCACGGGGACCCTGAGTAGTGCCTGCATCTTTGAGACACCAGGGCTGGCTAAGCCAAACACAGCCCCAGCTCGATGCCAGGTGTCAGCGCTGAACCCCCGCCCATCAGCCCGCACGTCTCTGATTCTGAGAAAGAAGCTGGAACTCCAGGAAAGTTCCTCGGTGGTGGGAGCCTTGTCCGTCTGGGTCACTGATGCCCTCAGCCCTGAGAAGATTGCCTCGGGCACAGGCCAAACTCCAGAAGGCAGTCTTGGGTCTGTCTGCCTTTTATTTATTTATTTATTTATTTATTTTGGAAAGAGAGATTTTTGCTATAGGGCAAGTGCACTCTCCAGAGAGAAGAAAGCAAGAATCATCTCCATGGGGGATGGCCATGCCACAATCCCTTCCCCGTTCTCCTCTCAGGATTCTGGGCATGCACGCACCCAGTGAGTTGTAAGCTGCCAAGTCCGGATCTTGAACCGTGGTCAACTACGTGAGAGTCTAGCAACATAACCGTTACACTATCTGCTTGTCCCAGTCTGTCTACTTTTAACAATAAGCGATGAATATGTTCTCATACGTGTTCTCATGCCCTCTCCCCCCACGGCACTCGCTGAAGGTCCTGTGTGGCAGGCAAGTGCCACACGGTGCCAGGAAGGCAACAGGGGACACAGGTCCTCTGTCAATGCACAGTGCTAGGCAACCCGACAGAACGGCGTGCCAAGTGAGCGAGTGAGGGAGGGCTCTGTCCTGCCCCAACTCGGGACTAGTCTTCACTCGCCCTCACCTGCACTCCCACCCTTCCCCCTTCTCCGCATGGCTCCTGCTCCCTAGTCGGACCTTCCAGGATTCACCGCAGCTCCTGCGCCCTCTGGTTTCTAGCTGAGTTCAGCCCGCGGGAAGTCCATTGGAGTGGAGTCCAGGGAGCAGGAAGAGAGTGGGAGGGCTGCTCGTCACTCTGCCCAGCTGGTGAGCCTGTGCTCCCAGGGAGGCCTTGTTCCTGGTGCACCATGCTTGCCGGAGCTCTCCCTGCTCCACACCAGCTCCTTCACTCTGTACGGTTTCCTCTGTAAATGCAGCCAACAGTGGTGCTGACACGTTATGGCCTTCTGAGGAGTAAGTGGACATCTCCGGCAAGCACTGGCATTGCCCTCAGCCCATCCAGGCACGGAGCTCATTCTCACCGATCCCTCCCAGTCCCCTTGGCCCTCACCCCTGAACTTTGTATCCTCTCCTATCCTAGTCACTCCAATAAAATGCTCTTCCAAACTTTGGGTCTGGCTCAGCCTTAGCCCTGTTAGTGGAGCTGGATCCCACATGGCTCATGGATCATTTTCTTGCAGGTCTTTATCCATTTTCTGTGTCTAGCCAGTATTTCCCAAAGGAACAGAGTGATCATTTCCAAGGCTTGAGTCCTGGCCGCGGTGGCTTGGAAAACATGCCAGTTATGTGTGTGTGTGTTCTAAATCCCACAGAAGGGAGAGATGGAAGAGGAGGGATTGTGGCGTGACCATGCCTCTTTGGGGGTGCTTTTTCCCCTCTATTTCTCTGTCTCTTTCTGGTGAGCACATGTGCCCTCTGGCAATTAAATGGGTGCGGTAGGCTGGCTGGTGTCTGCCTACACCAAACCAGACGGAGTTTTGAGCTGTGTGATCTTGGGCAAGTTACTTCACCTCTCTGTACTGCTTCCTCAGCAAATGGGACCAACAGTGGTGACCACACATCGCGGACTTAAGAGGATTAAACGGACACTCATGCAACATTTAGATAGTACTCAGGCCACGCCAAACACCGTTCCAAATGTTAGTTACAAAAGGTGCAGCGAGTGAGCGGGAAGATGTCACCGTCACTGCCGCCAGGCCTTCCCTGATGGACACGCAGAGCTGCCTTCGAGCCCGGTCGTGTGCTCGCACCTCCCCTGAGGTGCTGATGCATCCAGTTCTCCAGAGCACTGCCGGGGGCCGTGGAGTGATCCTGCCCATCTCTTTAGTTCACTTTACTCTTGGCCCTGCCCATCCTTTAAGCAGGCCCTTGGTCTCTCTTCATCTCTGTAACCAGCGACATCACAGAGCCTGAGGGCACTCAGTACTAAGGCACTGAATGAATGAATGAATGAATGAGGCGGCAGGAGGCCGTGCAGTGCAGGGAGTCAGCCACGGTGTTTCTAGCACCACCAGGTCTTCTGGTTGGTCTCTTTTCCTGGGCGCCACGTGGTTCCGGCACAACCCTTATTTTTACTTGTGTCCCCTGCCAGTTTGTTGCATGGAAGGGAGAGAACAGCAGCTAACCAGTAATCCCTGGCGGACGCCCAGCGCCTCCTACATGCCGATCTAATACTCCCACGATCACCCGCATCTTCTGCTTCTTGAGAACAGTCTCACGGGTCTGACCGCTGTGACCCTGCATGCCATTCAGAGCTCCCTCCAGACCTGGCTTTCCCTTCATATTTCTGCTCTCCCAGCATGACAAAGAGCAGAGGACACTGCAGGCCTCGCCCTGTGTCCGCCCGCCCTCATCAGGTGGCCTTGGGGAAGGCCCACTACGTCTCAGAACCGCAGCAACCCGGGTGGTTCCAGTCTCAGGAGACATCCAGAGTGTCCTCTTCCTCCCCATTTCACTCATGGGCCTGACCTGGGCCAACGCTCTCTTGCCTGTTTTACTGTAACCGTGTCCTAATTAGTCTCCTGGTTTCCAGGCCTGTGCGCATCCCCAGAGGCTGTTCTCAGTCTACCCAGCCCTATAGGATCACATGAAATGTGGCCCCTTCCTCCTCTTGGGCTGTACCTCTAAAACTCCCTGAACACCCCCACATACAAACGCACAGCGCTCCAGCCACATTCGGCCCCTCTGGAACGCGAGTGCCCATTTCCTCAGTGACGCCTAGTGGAAGCACCTGCTCTCAAGCGAGATCATGGGTGTGAACGTCTGTATGTGCAGGTTTTCCACGACCCACCACATGCGTGAGTGTGCAGCGAGCACTGTTCTGCACACGGACCATTTCTTGTAGGTCTTTATCCATTTTTCTCGTGTCTAGGCAGTATCCCCTAAGGCACGGAAGTGGCCATCTTCAACCATTCTGGTGGAGGGCATTCAACCAAGACTTGCTTAATGAAAGTGAATCGCCAGGTGCTCTTTGAACAGAAGCCTCAAGGCTTTGCAGTCAGACTCAGGCTGTGCCCGGCTCCGCAGAGCTTCCGCCCATGGTGCAGTCTGACAGGAGAAGGGAGGAAGCTGGCCTGGCAGACAGGAAGCACGCAGAGCTCTGCAAAACGCCACAGGAGAAGAGAACCAGACTGAGGGGGCGGTATGGGCTCACCCACAAGAATGTCGGCAGGCGCCCCAGCCCCGTGCGCCAGACCCAGAAAACTGGAGAAGCAAGACCAGAGTAACTGGAGATGGCACGGACGGAAGCACAAAGAGCAGCCTGCTGTCCAGAAAAGCACGGCCTCTGGAGCAGGGCCACGCTGCTCTCCTCCCACTCGCAGCTCAGGCTGAAAATGTTCTCCCACCAGGGATGCTATGGGACTTGCTCAGCAGGACTACCGGATGGGCAGAGGGCAAAGAGGAGCCAGGAGGGCAAGTGCTTAAACGCACAGGCAGAAGGCTCGGCTGCCCGGGTCCCACAGGAGCCCTGCCGCTCTGCTCATCGTGGGTGCATTTCCGAGCCCCTCTGTGGCTCAGTCCCTGCCTGTCACTGCTCACAGAGCTGCTGTGAGGACGAAGTGAACTCGGATTAGTAAAGCACTCAGAGCAGCCCCTGGCTCACACTGAGAGCATAGTCGTGTTGCCAAGCACACACATATAACGCCCCAGCCTGGCACGTCCATGTTGCCGAGCACACACATGTAATGCCCCAGCCTGGCTTTGGCCACAGCGGAGCTCGCTTGCTGCTTCGAAGGGGCTCACTCTCTCAGGAAGTGCCTGCAGGCCCAGTCCCTTGAGCATGCCCTTGTCTTCCTTCAACCTCAAATGAAATTTTAGGCAGCGTCTTCCATCTGCACGTGGGAAATGCCTTCACACATCCATCTGGCCAGGAGAGGACCCCATGATATGGTGCACCCATGACCTTGAGATAGAGAGGGCCTGGATGTGGTGAAGAACAGGAAGTAGCGCCGCTTTCACCTCAGACCAAAATGTTCTGAGAGCGGCCTTTCCTCCCAGGCTGCGCTGTGGGAGGTGGTTGTACCTTCTCGAAAGCTGAAAGCCAGAATGCACCAGAGGTGGGTGAAGGCAGGCTCCATGCTTGAGAAAACCAAACAACGTCAGAAGAAGGGAGCTTGTGACAAACGCGTTATGTAGCAGACACCAAGGTAGGTGCTTTACGGCCATCACTGTGCACGATTCTGCCACCAGCCACTCACAGGAGTAATCTCCGTTTCCGATTCAGCAGCTACAACCGAGACTCGGGAAGGACCGAGCTGTCGTGGAGCTCCCACCAAGCAAGCGCCCAAGATGTGACCCAGGTCTATCAGGCGCTACCAGAAGCCAGGCTTCCCGACATCAGGACGCTGTCACTCATGCTGAGGATGGAGCAGGTGTGGCAGGACAGCAGAGCTGGCGGCCACCTCCCTGGTGAGGCTGAGTCCCCGAGGACAGAACCAGGTCTCCTTCCTCCCCACCAGAAGGCCTGGCACTAGATTCCCACGAGAAGGTGATGGGCCTCTCCATTCCTGAGACGGTCCCCTCAGGTTCCCCAGCCTTTTCAGGCCACGCTCTCTCAAGGCTCGGGATTGAGGCCCCTGAGAAAACATGGAGGGCGATACTGTGCCCAGTGAGAAGGAAGCCGCAGACTCTGGGCCCGGGAAGACGAGGAAGGGGCCTTACCTGTGGGATGCCGTACTGGTCGATGACCTGCCAGATATACCAGTCTTCTTTTCGGGACATTTTCCTGAACCGGAAGGTTGTGACAAAGGCGTACTCATCGGGTAATCCTTGCGGGAACACATCCCTGGGGAAAAGGAGACAGACGACGCCATAGCGGTGAGAGCAGGGAACCAGCAGAGGCCTCCCCCGGGCCGACAGTTGCTGAGTCCTGCCCGTGTGACCTCCCAGTTACTACCCTACTCACCTACTTGGCCGGCCTTGGCTTAGACGGGCGCCCCAGCAGCCCTGGCAGGCCACTGCCACGTCCACTTCCTTGTCCCCCGGCCCCCTCCCTCGGCACCTCCGAATCCACCCCTCGGTGTGCACCTGCTTCCGTCTCTGCCATCACCGACACCCACGAAATGAGCAGTGACGCTAGTGGCCACTCTCAAACGCCACTGCCTCCCAGCCTCCACACTGCCTGCCCCACTCCTTCTCCGCACGTCCGGCCTGCTGTATCTCATCCTGCTGGGCCTCCTGCCCATACCCCATGGTCCTACGGTCTGACTGGGTGTCCCCCAAATTCACATGCTGAAACCCTCACCCCCAGGGGTGACTTCTGGAGGTGGAGCCTTTGAGGCTGGTTAGATGATGGCTGGAGCCACCATGGTTGGGGTGAGGGCCCTCACACAGCCCACCCCTTCCCGCCGTGTGGGGTTACTGTGGCGTGACAGCTGTCCGAGAGGATCTCTGCGGAGGCTTCACAGCCTCCAGAACTGTGAGACATAAACTCCTTGGGGCAAAAGCCACCCACGCTCTGGTACCTCCTTGTAGCCTCTCAGATGGACCAAGGACGTGCTCTTCTCTGTGCGGGAGCCACCATGGTTGGGGTGAGGGCCCTCACACAGCCCACCCCTTCCCGCCGTGTGGGGTTACTGTGGCGTGACAGCTGTCCGAGAGGATCTCTGCGGAGGCTTCACAGCCTCCAGAACTGTGAGACATAAACTCCTTGGGGCAAAACCCACGCTCTGGTACCTCCTTGTAGCCTCTCAGATGGACCAAGGACGTGCTCTTCTCTCCCCATCCCTGGGCTCCTGCCCAGCCTATGGGGCCAGCCCTCACCTGGCCCTGCTGTGGCCAAGTCCTGCTCTGAGGTGGGGCTGCCTCGGGATGTCCCTGGCATTGACTTCTCTGCTAGAGGAGGTGGACGCTGTCTGGCCTGACAGCCAGGAAGGGAAGTGGGGAGGCGTCTGAGTTCCTGGTTCTCAGACTCACGGATCCTCAGGGACCCTTGGTCTGGCTGTCACAACCATGAGCAAAGACTGGCCCTCTCTGACTCGCAATTCACAGACCCAGACGAGAGGCGGCCCAGGTGCTCCGCACTGCTCCCTGAGCTGGATTCCACCAGGACCATGTCCAGACACGGAACAGAGCCCATCACCCACGGCCCTCAGGAGTCGGGGACATCGGGCCTGCCCATGTGGGAGGAAGGCAGGACCTCCCGCCTTGGGCTGCCGACGGCTCCCTAGCCACAGACAGGCAGCTCTCTTCATTACCCTTTTCGACCCTGTTTCTGTACTAAGCCCAACTCTGCTGTTGTTCTCTTCTGAACACACCTTCCTCTGACTCTTCTGAAATGCACACACACACGTGTGTAGATAGTCTAAGAAAAAGAGTGTGTAATAGATATGTTACTATAATCATGGAGAAAAAAGGACATTAACAGAGAACATCTAAATAAAGCAAATGGCCTAATCCAATCCCTCCCACAAATCTGATAGCGGGTCATGAGATTACGGGAAAAGGGCAGCGGGTCTGGAGCAGAGGACCTGCGTTTGAGGCCGGCCTCTGCCTCCTCAAATTGTGGGACTAAGCCAGCCCCTGTCCCATCTGGAGGCCGTGATATCGCACCAGATGGAACGAGAATGCTCACCTTGCTCGCCTCGTTTCACATTAGCGAGAAACGTTGCAAGGAGTGTCAAGGGCCCCTTACGTGTTAGACAAGTGAGGGGAAGATGCAAATCCTGGAAGGGACATCTCGTCATTATGAACAAGATCTACCTGCAAATTAAAACTACACACGTGTGGATGTGAGTGTGGGTTGGTCAAGGCAACAGAAAAGAAAGAGAAACCATCTTTCGAGATGCGTCAGACGTGGTGGTCTGAGGTTATTTCTGACAATTTGCCACTAAAACCCACACGACACTGCGTAGGCACTCCTTCTCAGCAGAACTCAGCATCACGAGCCCAAGCCATCACCCAGGGACACGTCCCCTCCCGTGTCCCATGGTGGTTAAGCAGCGTTGCTGTCTGACACAGATACCACATCAGAAGGAGGCGACATCTGTCAGGGCCTCCACCAGACACGCCTTCGTTTGGTTCCTTCCCCACTGCATGTTCTCTGAGCATGAAGTCGGACGTGGCTTTTTCTGTTTTGGGGCGTTGGACAGTGGAGAAATCTTTACTTCAGACCTTCTCAACCACACAGTGAGGCAGGCACCTCCACCTCAGGATGACAGCAGCACACGGGGGCAGGGTGCCACGTGCTGGGCTGCAGAAGGCCCGGCACCTGGTCAGTACTGACGCCGCCTCCCCTGGCCGAAAGCGCCCCAGGACTCCAAGCCCCCCGCAGTGCAGCGGCTGGGCCCTCGTAGCTGCGTACCTGCAGGACCCATGACTATGAGGGATGAAAGAGCACGTATGGGGAGTGACGAGGGCCACATCCATGTGGAGGGAGGAGGACCAAGAACCAATGGAGTCGGTGGCGACGGAGGGGCTGAGAGCGAGGTGGGCTTCCCCACGGCTGGCCCAGTCGCTGCATCTGAAGACTGGCCCAGGCACTGGGTACAAGCATGCCCCCTCAGTGCTGCGTGGGCAGCTGCCCTCTCCCAGGGCGTCAGGGCAGGAGAAGGGACCACTCACTCGGTCCTCTGCACCACGGGGAAGGAGCCCATCCGGACGTACGAACTCTGCTCTCCGTTCTCTCTCCTCCCCAGGATCTCCTTCACGCTGAACAAGTCCATCAGGTCAAACCCTGTCCAAAGAGAGGGGCAGGAGTGAGTTCGGCAGAGGAGGGGCACTAGGCGGAGGAGGGGCTCACTGCTCTCTGCCCTGCAGCTGGCCCACCCCAGCCAGGAGCAAAGACTTGAGAGCTGTTGTTCGACTACGTGTTTGGGGAGAAAGTGGACAACAGTGAGAAGCCGTGCAGCTTCCAGTCCATCCTGAGAAGTGGAGCAGGAGGATGCAGATACCGTGCTCCCTGGGGCAGTGTGGGCTGAGGAGCCCTGGACCGCAGCCAAGAATCAGGAGCGGGTGGTGCCCGGCCGAGCTGCTGCAGCCGGGATCTGGGTGTGCAGGAAGCTCGGGGCAGGCGTTTTGCTCACGTGGGCGGCTCTGCAGGCAGCTGGCAGTTCAGGGCCTGCCTGCAGCCACATTCCTGCCTTTTACTAGATTTTGCTTGAATTATAGTTTGGCGGCTGTTAAGTTTCATGATTTTAAAGAGAGAAACATCAGAAACAAGAAAACTGTCCTTGCAATACTGCATCCAATGAGAGGCATTTGTATCTTGGTTTGCTCCCTCCAAGAGAGGACCTTACAGGCAATGTCTTTGTAAAGTAAAGGACAGATCATGGGCTTTGGGTGTGGGGGATCGGCAAGGTGAGGGTGGGCTTTAATCTGCTCAGTTACCAGTCACATAACCCCCAGGAGCCTCAAGTATCTGGTCACAGACCTACAGAGAGGCTGCCATGGAAACCACATGAGACCCTGAACACGCGTCCGCAGCAGACACAGAAACCCACAGCATGGCCCCGTGACGACTGGTCATTCAGCGCCACACCACACAGCCTTGGCCACATCCTTAGCCGCCACCAAGCGCTCGAGCCAAACTGCGACGTCGGGAGGGCTGGCTCGAGGTCTGCAGGGCAGGCTGGGAAGGGCCTGAGGACAGCCCTGCTCTGGGGCTGACTGTGCGCCATTTTTTAAAAAGCTGACTGGGACTGTTCTCATGGGGACTAGGGATGCTCTCAGCAGGTGACAGGAAGCCACAAGTCTGGCCAAACTGGTGTCTGCAATCCCAGAGCTGACAGAACTGGAGCTGGTGCCTGCCTCCCAGACGTCAGGAAGAGTCTGTCACCGTCTCTGCCACTCTAGGCCGCCATGGGACGAGGAAATGACCCGCAGGGCTCACTTTGCAGTGACCGATCACTCCCTACTACTACTGTCCAAAGGCCCATCCATTCATTCCACTCGCATTCCGGAGCTCCCGCCTGTGCCAGCCCTGTGTAAGACACGACAGGGGGGCAGGGGCTCAGGGCCAACGGCACGACGGCAAGTTCGAGAACCGGAATCAGACAGGCCTGGGTGCTCCCAGTCATTCCCTCACTGTGTGGCCTAGCAGGTGGCCTGCCGTCTCTGAACACTAGTTTCCTTATCCGTAAAAGGAGATAGTGAGGTTGGCCCTTTAATGCAGTGGCTAAACTCTGCAGAGGGAGCCGGATCCCACACAGCTGACCGGGGTTCAAGTTCTGGCCCCACTAGCTTGGAAAAAAACACTCAGCGCACGCGTATACCCAGGACGCTGGGGGGATGGGGAATTGGAGGAGAAGGACTGTGTCATGTCCAGGTCTCTCTAGTTCTTTCTTAGAGGCACTGAACAGGGGCGGGGGGG